TTAGGAGGATAATGCTGGCAGCAATTTCCTTCCGCGTAGAAAGAAAATAGCGTGACAATGATTCTTCTCTTTGCCATTATTCAGCCACCACCCAACCAGGAATTACAACTCAGCCACCTACAACTACACAGCCACCTACAACTACACAGCCACCTACAACTACACAGCCACCTACAACTACACAGCCACCTACAACTACACAGCCACCTACAACTACGCAGCCACCTACAACTACACAGCCACCTACAACTACACAGCCACCTACAACTACGACACCAGGAACCAGGACACAGTCCCACTTACAACTACACAGCACGCTACACTACACAGCGCCTACAACTACACAGCCACCTACAACTACACAGCCACCTACAACTACACAGCCACCTACAACTACACAGCCACCTACAACTACACAGCCACCTACAACTACGCGCACCTACAACTACACAGCCACCTACAACTACAGCAGCCACCTACAACTACGACACCAGAAACCACGACACAGCCACCTACAACTACACAGCCACCTACAACTACACAGCCACCTACAACTACGGCACCAGAAACCACGACACAGCCACCTACAACTACGGCACCAGGAACCACGACACAGCCACCTACAACTACGGCACCAGGAACCGCAACACAGCCACCTACAACTACGGCAGGAACCGCAACACAGCCACCTACAACTACGGCACCAGGAACCGCAACACAGCCACCTACAACTACACAGCCCCCTACAACTACGGCACCAGGAACCGCTACACAGCCACCTACAACTACGGCACCAGGACCCACGACACAACCACTAGCAACTACGCACCAGAAAACCACGACAGCAGCCAATGACAAACTACACAGCCCCCTACAACTAACGGCACCAGGAACCACAACACAGCCACCTACAACTACAGCACGAGGAACCACGACACAGCCACTGACAACTACACAGCCACCTACAACTACACAGCCACCTACAACTACAGAGGTACCTACAACTACACAGGTACCATGCGATGGTGTATTATTGGACATGCTTGACCCATCATCCGGCGCCTTCATCGACAGCTTCACGGATAGCAGCGTTGGATCACTCTATTCAGCAGACGTACTAACGAACGGTTGGACTTCACCAGGAAATATTACGGAAAACGAACCGTCTCTATTGTTAGCATTTGCTGATGTATCCGTGCAGATTACGCGGTTCCGTTGGCATGGCACTACATCAAGTATAGGAGTTGAAGTGGAGACAAACGGGACCCCGACATTTTATACCGTAAGCATTTTCATTCATTTCTACCTTTGTTAACGAAATCGTTACATTACTTTGTCTCTACGTTTACCTTAATTCACATAATCTACTACTACTACTACTACCACTACTACTACTACTACTACTACTACTACTACTACTACTACTACTACTACTGCTGCTGCTGCTGCTGGTGGTGGTGGTGGTGCTGCTGCTGCTGCTGCTGCTGCTGCTGCTGCTGCTGCTGCTGCTGCTGCTGCTGCTGGTGGTGGTGGTGGTGCTGCTGCTGCTGCTGCTGCTGCTACTGCTGCTACTGCTTCTGCGGCAGGTGATGGTGGTAGTGCTGATGATGATGATGATGGTGGTGGTGGTGCTGCTGCTGCTGTTGGTGGTGCTGCTGTTTCTGCTCTAAATAACCAAGTTACCCAAAAGTCTGCTAGACGGCGCAGTGTTAAGGAAAATGCACTGTGAAAATCCTACCAATTAATTGATGTGCGTGGTTGTTGCGTTTTCAATATTTTCATACCCGCAATCTTTTCCTTCTACTAGGTGCCGTGATCTATAAAAGTGCTTTGGATATATATATATTACATATAGGTATTACAGCAAAGTCTATTTTATGATTTTAAGGTGGCCACAAGCGACGTATCCTTCCAGTCAGGAGCGTACGGTGATGCTTTGAGAATAACAAGGATAGCACCGGTATCTGGCGGGAACACGACACTACACCTGGACGAGCTGATAGGATGTTTCCCAGTTGTAACGACAACAACTACACTGCCACCTACAACCATGGCACCAGAAACCACGACACAGCCACCTACAACTACACAGCCACCTACAACTACGGCACCAGGAACCACGACACAGCCACTGACAACTACACAGCCCCCTACAACTACGGCACCAGGAACCACAACACAGCCACCTACAACTACGGCACCAGGAACCACAACACAGCCACCTACAACTACGGCACCAGGAACCACGATACAGCCACCTACAACTCCACAGCCACCTACAACTCCGGCACCAGGAACCACGACACAGCCACCTACAACTACACAACCACTTACAACTACACAGCCACCTACAACAACGGCGCCAGGAACCACGACACAGCCACCTACAACTACACAG